TCTGCCCTGCAGGTGTGTAGACTCAGCCATGCTTCCATGGGACTACTGGTGAGATTCCATCTGTCAGATCTCAAATTGACAGGAGTGGTAAGAGTAGGAGACTGGAGTGGTTCTTCCAGAGTTATTTTGCTCCCTGATGACAGCTAAGGAAAAATATGGGCAATAAAATTGGGAGTCTTTACTTTCTGACCCCTGCTCTTGGCTGAAGGAGAGAAGCCCCAAGAGATTAAGTGCCAACTAGGATGGCTATGGTATTGAAAGTCTGGTATTGAAAATACTGGACATTCACTGGCTTTCACAGAACTCAAAAGATGCCTGCAGACAAACTGATTGGCAGTAAGATCTAAAGTCTGTCTAAGTGATAACCTTTGGAGAAAGAGCTGTAGGGCTTGAATAGGTCCTAAATTGTACACAGAGTAATACTGTAATTTACCTAGTGACACTCACAAAGATTGACATGACAAATGCTTAAAGTTTTGGTTCAGATGTTTCATAAATATTTATTGATTACTGAGCTAGGCACCGTGGGAGATATACAAGATGTGGCTCTGCAGTAATGTGACTGATGTTTTAAAAACCACGAATTCCTAAATCATATATTCAAGTATGTGCTCTTTTTTTTTTTTTTTAAGATTTTATTTACTTATTTGACAGAGAGAGACACGGCAAGAGAAGGAACACAAGCAGGGGGAGTGGGAAAGGGAGAAGCAGGCTTCCCATGGAGCAGGGAGCCCGACGCGGGGCTTGATCCCAGGACCCTAGGACCATGACCTGAGCCGAAGGCAGACGCTTAACGGCTGAGCCACCCAGGCGCCCCTAAGTATGTGCTCTTTTTTGAGAGGTTAAATATTTTTCCAGAGATGTTGTCACTACTCAAAACTTTTCTAACTCCTTAGAGTTTGCTTTCAGCTTGTAGCGTATTTTAAAATGTATGTCTATGTAAGATACATATATTTAAACATATATATTTCTTAGAATTAGCCAAAATTTATTTGGTACTATGTCCTATGAATCTGGTAGGAAATCAACATAGATAATATTCTGTTCATCTGAAATGATGTGTGACTGTAGAATACTGAGTCTGAGTTTTTGGATAAGGTTTATTAATTTCAAAGGAGATGTTCCACTGATACTGTATGAAATGCAGCATTATTGCAATAGGCTTGTTGCTTCTCAAAATGACTCTGAAGGAAAATACTCATTTCAATAACAGTTCTGATGTGTTCATAAAAAGTTAACTTCTTGGGATGCCTGGGTGGCTTAGTTGGTTAATCATCTGCCTTTTGCTCAGGTCATGGTCGTGCAGGGTCCTGGGATGGAGTCCCACATCAGGGTCCTTGCTCGGTGGGGAGCCTACTTCTCCCTCTGCCTATAGCTCCCCCTGCTTGTGCTCTCTCTCTCTCTCTCTCTCTGACAAAAAAATGAATAAAATCTTTGAAAACAAAAAACAACAAAACAAAACACAACAGAAGTTAACTTCTTAGATAGGGAGACACATCTGAAAACGGCGGTTAACCTTTAGGAATATTCTGCCTTGTGGCCTGGAAACAAGTGTGTTAGAGAATAGGAATTTGTATTCATCACTTGGTGCTGGAGCAGGGCTGAGGTGATCATGTGATGCAGTCAGGAAGCAGGGGTGGCTGACCGGGCTCCCCTTTTCAGCTTTACACCCACCCTCAAAGGTATAGGTAGTCTTTGTGTCAAAAATTCCCCTTAAATTTTCCCCTTCGAGTTTTCGTTTTCTTTGCTGTTTGTTTTATTTAGATTAATTTATGCGAAAAGCTTGTTGAGTGTATTAAATTTCTCCTGGTTCCATGTTATTGCAGAAGTGACTCTGGAAATGGGAAGTAAAGAAGGAAACCAATTAGCAAAAGTAGTTCAGGTTGGTTTCTTGAAGTAGGTGGGTGGGACTGATTTGAAGAAGTTCTGGAGAATAGAGATGACATGCATGGCTTCAGTGCACATGAAATGCAAATTTATATAATGATTATACATTCTCTGTCTAATGCATAGTAACATTGTCTTTTACATTAGAATGTGGGATACTCAGGGCAAGGGCTTCTGAGTTTTTTGTATTCCTCACAGCACAGAGCAGAGTGCAGGACAGATCATCAAGGCCTCCCCAGATGGAATTGTTACTCCCTGAGTCCCATCTTGTTTCCCCCTTTTCACTTTAAACAAACGTGGTGTCTGAGTCCACTCAGGCTGCCACAACAAAATATCATATACTGGGTGGCTTAAACAACAGAAGTTTATTTCCTCAAAATTCTGGAGGCTGGGAAGTCCAACATTAAGGTGCTGACTGATTCGGTTCCTGGTAAGGACTCTTCTTGGCTTGCAGATGGCTGGCTTCTCCCTTTGTCCCCACATGGCAGAGACAGAGCAAGCTTTTCTAAGGACATTAGTCCTTCTGGATCAGTGCTCCACCCTTATGACCTCATTTAACCTTATTCTAAATACAGCCACATTGAGGGCTTCAACATATGAATTTTGAGGAGACACAGCTCAGTCCATATCACCGTTGGATCAGAACACTTATTACATTGTGCTGTGATAGTTTATGTCTATCCCCCATTGACTATGGTATCCTTAGGTGCTAAGCACTGTGCTAGGCATTGAGAATCACAAAGATGGATCTTGCCCTCAAGGAGCTTATCATTAGTTGTATTTGCTTTCTATGGCTGCTGTAATGAATTAGCACAAACTTAGTGGCTTAAAACGACACAAATTTATTATCCGACAGCTCTATAGGTTAGAAGTCTGACACAGATCTCACTGAGCTAAAATCAAGGAGTCAGCAGAGCTGTGTTCCTTTCAGAGGCTCCAGGGAGAATCTGTTTCCTTGACTTTTCCAGCTTCTAGAGGCAGTCAACATTTCTTGGCTTCTGGCCCCCCCCTTTCTCCATCTTAAAGCCAGCAAAGTTGCGTCTCTGTGACCATTCTTCCATAGTCACATCTCCCTCTGAAAGAGCCAGCTAAGGCTCTCTATTCTTCAGGATCCATGTGATTAGTCTGGGCCCATCTGGATAATCCAGCATAATCTCCCCATCACAAGGTCCTTAGTTTAATCACATCTGCAAAGTTCCATTTGCCATGTCAGGTAACATATTCACAGTTTCTGGAGATTTAAATGTGGACATCATTGGTAGGGGGACATTATTCTGTCTATCACATTAGTGGAAGAAAGAGACATGTAAATCAGAGATTCAATGCAATGTGCCAAATGAAACAATGAAGATCTATTCAGGGTATGTGTATATGGGAAGTGTACAAGAAGGTAGTTAACAAATGATAGTTATAAATGAGGCACTGACAGCAAAGATGAAGAGGATGAGGTGGGTTCTATGGAGGTAGAATGGGCATAATTTGTATTCCAACTTGATGTAGGGGATGAGGGAGAGAGAGAGAAAAGGAGTAGAATGACTTACAGATTCTGGATTGGGACTGGGCAGGCTTCTTGCTGAGATAGGAAGCATGCTGGAGGGCACGGTAGTTGCTCTTTATGCTCTTCTCTCTTCATGACTACTCTGACTACAACCATGTGGTGGATGGAGGGGTGATTCCTGGAAAAGGTATGTTGGGCAGATATCCTACTAGGGATACACTTCAGTGGAGGAGATGATGCATTCAGCTTTTTCTTGCTCTTTGGCTTTTTAAAAAAGTTGAGCTACAATTTACAATGAAATGCACAGATCTTAAATGTTTAGTTCGATGAGTCCACGAATGTATACTCATATCCAAAACAAGATATAGACTATTTCCATCACTTTACAAAGATCTCTGGCGCCTCTCGCAATCAGTCCCTACACCTCAAAGCAACCAGTACTCTGATTTCTATCAACATAGATAATTTTGCCTATTCCACAACTTCGTATAAATGGAAGCATACAATATGTACTCTTTGGTGTCTTTCATTCAACATAATGTATCTGAGATTGAACTACGTTATCGCTGTATCAAACGTTCACTCCTTTTCGTTGTTTAGAAGTATGCCCAGACCGTACTTGCTCATTCATTCATCTTTTGATAGACATTTGGGTTATTCTTAGTGTTTTGGTCATTTGGACATTTTTTACACAAGTCTTATTAGGGTTAAAGGGAACTTTATAGGATTAAATGCTGAGATTAGAAAAGATTAGTTCAGTTTTGAATAAGTTAAGTCAGAGGTACTTGTGGGACATTCAGATAGTGAGGTCCAGGACCAATTGGAGTTCAGTCTATGGTAAAGGGGAGAGAGGTGGGCTAGCAATTTAGATTTCTGTAGTCGCTAGTCAGTATGTGGAATTAAAGCCAGGGCAAAATCCTCAGGTAGAGTATAAAGTGTGAGATAGGAAAAGGCCCATGAATTAAATCCAAGAGAGCATGTGTATCTATTTGTAAAGAGGAATCCCTAAGTATGGACTCTGAGAAACAAACTGAGGGCTCTAGAGTGGAGGGGGATGAGGGGATGGGTTAGCCTGGTGATGGGTATTAAAGAGGGCACGTTCTGCATGGAGCACTGGGTGTTACACTCCAGCAATGAATCATGGAACACTACATAAAAAACTAATGATGTAATGTATGGTGATTAACATAACATAATAAAATTAAAAAAAAAAGAGGAACCCTCTAAGGAGGCTGAGCAAGCACGACCATTTATTTATCTTTGTGTGTCCATCAGCAGGCACAGGACCCGAAGCCCAGGCACGTCTCAATTTGCTAAATTTAACAGAACGTGTGCGGAGTATACGCTCTTTGATAGACCCTAGAGGAGGAGATAGATGGGTAGGACAAATGGCATGAGGAGTCGTAAAGGCCCGGGGGCGCCTGGGTGGCTCAGTCGGTTAAGCGACTGCCTTCGGCTCAGGTCATGATCCCGGAGTCCCGGGATCGAGTCCCGCATCGGGCTCCCTGCTCGGCAGGGAGTCTGCTTCTCCCTCTGACCATACCCCCTCTCATGCTCTCTCCATCTCAGTCTCTCTCTCAAATAAATAAATAAAATCTTAAAAAAAAAAAAAAAGGCCCGAATGAGTGTGGTAGAGTGAAGAGAGGGAGTGGTGCGGTGTAAGCACGACAGGCTCCACCTTTGCTTCGACGGGGCTGGGAGATGGAATCATTAGAGTTGAATAATTAGGTAGGGTCAGACTACGCAGGTCCCGAAATGGATGTCAGATGGAAGAATTTAGACTCCACAGGCCGGCCACCTTGAGAAGAGCTGGGTTCTGAAGTAGGGCGTGAGAACATGAGATTTGCTTTTAGGAAGTGACTCTGGCGGCGACGGAGGTACGGTTGCTACTGCTGGTGACAGGGCTGAGTGAGTGGTTATCAGTAGGGCTTTCCACTAGTCTTTGGCTTTGTAGCTGAGGCTGATTCCCTGGCCAAGCGCTGTAACTGTGCGTCTGAGCCTTGGTAGCAGGAGACAGAGGTCGTGGCATCTGGCGGCAGCTGGGAGGCAGTGCGTGCGCGCCGGGCCGAGGTGTCCGGTTGGGAACCCTCGCGCTGAATTGCAGCCAGGCGGGGCGCGGATGGGGCGGCCGAGGAACCAGGCCACGCCCCTCCCGCCCGCGCAGGCGCGCTGCGAGCCGTTAGCTGTCAGGAGCCGAGCGGCTGGCTGGCGGCGGGATCCGACGTCTGCGCTGGAACCGGCTGACAGCACCCAGCGCGGCAGGGGCGGCAAAGGCGGCGCGGCCCCGGCTCGCCAGCCGGGTCACAGAGGAGAGCAGGGACCAGCGGGCGGCTGGCGACGCTGGCAGGATGGGGAACCGGGAGATGGAGGAGCTGATCCCGCTGGTGAACCGTCTGCAGGACGCCTTCTCGGCGCTGGGACAGAGCTGCCTGCTGGAGCTGCCGCAGATCGCCGTGGTGGGCGGCCAGAGCGCGGGCAAGAGCTCGGTGCTCGAGAACTTCGTGGGCAGGTGAGAGCGCAGGGCGCGGGGGGCGGGGCTGGCGACCCCGCTTGGGGCCGTTGGAGCGCGCCCGGGCGGCGGGAGCCCTAGGACCGACCCGCGGCTGAGGCGGAATGGAGGGCAGAGCGGCGGCGTCCGTGGAGCGGGCGGGGTCGTCCCGGCTCCGGGCATCCTACGTCTCTCCCCCCCCCCCCACAACGCCCGCGCCTGGTGGCCCTCCTGCCTGTCTTTCATCCTGCGATACAAAGCCATTTCCTCTCCGTCCTCCGGTCGGGGAGTCGGGGGAGGGGGTCCGCCCGGGATCGACTTCCCCCCCGCCCGGCGCGCCCGCCTCGGGGAGCCTGGATGCGTAGCGCGCCCGGGAGCTTCCCAGTCCCCGTCTCCTCTGTTTTCCCGGCTCCACATCCCCCTCCTTTTCCTGTCCGCCTCCCCGAGGCTCTCTGTGAGGCTTTGGGGTTTTATCCCCCCCGCCCCCGCGGAGATGCTGTCCTTCTCGCCCCGGTTCTCGGCTCCGCTCAGCTGCCTACTGTTCGAGACAGTCGTCCCCTGCCCCTAGCAGGGGAGGCGGGGTGCGAGGAGAAAGAAACCGTTTGTTGTGGTGAAGCTTCATCCAGCCACGCTTCCCCACCATTCTCCCTAAGAGTCGAAGAATAAAAGGTGGTGTGTTCGCGTGTGCACCTATTCACAGCTCCAGGCTTATGTCAGAGAAACCGAGGCACAGACTCTGAGGGGGGTGAACGTGGACTTGTGTTGCCCAGATGCCATGTCATTCCTGCATCATCTCGGAATTGACCAGCATCTTTCTCGCACTCTCTCTGCGCCCCCTCCCCCAGCATCATCTTCCGTTCCCTACGCTCTCATCTGTCCTGCGAGTCTTCAAGATAAAATGCTTAATCTAAATTATAGTTATGGGTTTCGTCGTGACTCTTAACACAGAAAAAGGGAAAGGATTAATTTTTTTGAATTGACAATCAGCATTTTTTCCACTGAGCAATTCGTGAGGGATTAAGTTACCTTAACGGCCTCGCCTGAGGAGTGCAGACATTTGCCAAGAAAAGCCCGTTTGAAAGCATTACGAAAGCTGAAATCTGTTTCCTATAGTAAACCAGGTAGAAATGTACAGCAGTAAGACAGTGGGCCGGAGTGGGGACAATCCAGAGATTGTACTTTACTCTTTTTATTTGGCTGGTTAAGTGATTTTAGAGTCAGAAGTTTCCTGTTCCTTTTTTTCTTTTTTTGTTAGTGTTTGGTCGTGTGTGAAATTTCGATATTCCCACATCTCCTTTGGGAATGTTAGTGTCTATAAAGTGCATATTCTTCTTTCTCAGTTGATGCTCTGTCTGATGATACTCTTCTTTTTTTCCTTGTATGAACTAGAAAAGCTTAGAATCCTAATAAAAAAGTAAAATTGCTGACAATTGGCTGGTATCTTTGCCTAAGTCTCTTAATCACTTCTGTTTTACCATTTTGAGTGATGAGAAAGTGATAGTAAAATATTCTGCATACGTCATCTTAGACTAATGGTGAAGTGATGGATGAATGTGATTTCAAACATACGTGGGGCAGTCATATAACTTAATAAGGGTTTTACTTTTTTGGATTTATTTTCAATGAAATTCACTAAGTTTAGAGTGGTATCCATAGGGAAAGTGAGGCTTGAGGGCAATGTATTTTTGAATTTTCAAACTCCAGGACATTTAACATGGTACCCTAATAGTCATTTAACTACTTTTGTTTTTTAAACAAATACTTAAAGATTAAAATAGTAAGTAATTCAAATGCAATTACCATGTTTTTATGCACATTTCATATATTTACTTGGATGGGCTGTATTATAAATGCAATGTTTGTGTCCAGAGCTTTTGAACCTAATGTCAGTTTTAGGCACATATCTCAATTCTGTCCTGACACACTTCTTAATGCTATAATAAAATTGTATACATTTCCCCTCACTAGCTATAGTCTTTTAAAATGAGAATTTCAAAAAAAGAGATATGGAAGAGTAAATTATTTTAGCTTAAATGTTTTTTATGATAGAATGAAAAATAGGGACATTATAAGCATTATACAAATCAGAGCATTTAGCAAAATACATTAGTATTTTGTTATACTTTTAAAAAAAGTTTTACCAATAATTAATTACTGTTAAAATATCAAATCAAAGGGTGAACATAGAGGGAAAAACTCATTTAATAAATATATAAAGGCTTTATTATCTGTAGAGATGACACTTGCCTTGCAGAGCTTATATATTAGGAAAAAAATTAATTAAAAAGGTCATTTGACTTTAATAAAGGTTTCTGTCATTGAATTATTGAGGAATCTAATTTCTAATTATAAACCAACCTTAGGGAAAAAGGAGTTCTTAATTTTGAAAGGAGATTGGTCCTAGGCAGAAAAAAACTACTCATATTCCACTATAACCTTTTATCTTTTTGTTATCCAGCAATTTTGCAATAAGGATAAGGTCCTTTCCTTTAAGGATGAAACTTTCTTCTTTTACATGTAGTTGTTTTCATTTTAAGACTCTGGCGTATGTGCAGTTATCGAATGTAGTCATAAAACAAGGGGTCATTGCTTGTGTGAACTGTGTTTGCTCTCATTTAAGCTTGTTCTCTTCAAAATAATGATGCATTTTCCTCAATATTTAACAATCCATACTTAATGGACTATTTTCTTCTCTCAGATATATATTGACTTTTTTTTGATACCACTGAATGAATTTGATTGTGAATGTGTTTACTTCATTTAACTGTAGCTGTAAAATCCAATTTTGGGGTGACAAGTTTGAGATTGTTATGAATAAAATGAGTCATGAATGAACTACTTGTTTGTGATTTTCTTTCTGAAGTGATGAATTTACATATTAATGTAATATAGTGTGAGTAACCAGATTGTTCTTTTGGTTGTTCAGATGAGATATAGACTGGCAGTGAGAGGCAGCGTAAGGTCTAATGAGTAGAAGCTGAGACCCATGGGTGTGAATATAGGGGTTCATTATCCGGTGTGGGGGTCTGCCCATTTGTCTGGTTTGTGTATGGAAGAACTGAATTTACTCACCTACTTTCATATCCAATTTTTTTTTTACAGTGCAGTGAGATGATGATGGTGGTTAACATTTATTGAGAGCTTGCTATGCATCTGGTACTATTCTAAAGACTTTTACATGGGTAATCTCATTTAATACTCATAAAACCTCACAAAGGAAGGTACTCGTATGAGTTTCATTTTACGGAAGAAGAAATTGAGATTTAGAGAGTTTGAGTAACTTGCTGGTGGCTAATTTAATTGAACATAAAAACAGTGGAGCTAGGATCCAACCTGAGGTGTCTGGGCTCTATCCCATACTATAAAACCTCTGTGCCATATTGCTCCCTCCATACTTAGATTTACCAAATCCTCTGATAAATACTTTCAACTTCTTTCTTTGATCACACTTAAAAGCACCACCTAAATGAACAAGAAGCTGCCATATTAACAGTATTATTCATATTTATTTTTGTCTACCTCGCCTCATTTTACAGATTTGAGGCAACCCCTTAGGCAGAAACAACATTAGTTAAAAGATAAGTACTTTTCTTTACTATATTAGACATTCTTGAAGGGAGCTCCAGCAGGTAATTGGATTGTTTATTTAAGTATGTGTTTATAGAGTACATATAACTTGTTTATGGAGGTGTTAAATGAAAACTGTACTAGTTGCTAATATGCAAATGTTTTATAATGATATACTTGTTAAAAACGTTAGTTTTTCAATGCTAATTATATAGGCAGAGAATTCCACATTATTTTATTCTAGTCTGAGTGGTAAATAGACTTTTAATTTTGTACAACTAGAGTAGGTTTTGTGATTAATGATTAAAAAAAGACTTTTTTAAAAAGTGACTATGCTGAGGGAGTGCATTTCAATGTGGAAATGTCAAATGTATATTTATTTAATTATGATGTTTGAAAGATAGATATGTTGATTATCTAATTAAAGTTTTTTTGAGAGAGAACCTTAATAGCCATTTGATGCTGTTGTTGCAATGGACATAACCAGATAATTAAAAAAAAAAAATCCGTAAGTCATTTATATGGCTTAGATAGACACTATTCTTAAGTCCTTTGACTGATTTCAGGAGAGTAAAAAATTGAGGAGGGAAGAGTTCTCCAATTGCAAATGAGATTAGGCATAGAAGCATTCATATTAGTAAAACTTCTTAATTCAGAAATAGGTTTGTATTGAGGTAAAGTATTTTTTTAAATATCAAAGCACCTGAATTAGTGGATATTTTTCAACAAATGCCAGGTGTTAAAATTATTAGGTAAATGGGTGCTAACAATTAAGTTGTGATAATTTTTGAAAATTGTGCTTCATGGTTCCCAAGAGTCCATTTAAATAAAGAATCAGACACATGAACTTTTTTTCATCCAACAATGAATTGCTAAAACCTGAAATTACAAAGATATTTTTGCTGAATTAACATACATAATGTACTTCAGGTTTTCACGAATTTACAGTTGGTAGGATTTAAGTACTACAGTCAACTTAATTCTTTTAATCTCTGTATCTGAGAAGCAATACAACCAGGTAAACTGGCCTGGATAGGATATCTCTGTTTTGGAATTTACTTTTGGTTAACAGATATCAAAAAATGCACTTGATTAACTTCTTTAAGAATGAATTTGAATAGGCGGTCATCCAGAACTTTTGAGGAATGGAGACTTAATGGTTACCTGTGCTATTATGCTAGAGATTATTGGGTTATCTACAGTTAGTATATTAGGTGTTTTTCTTAGGTAGTAGTACCCTTTATTAGGGCTAGTAAATGGAATTAAATTATGGTGTTTTATTTATTAATGTAATTTATTTGATATTGAGGGGACTACAAGCAGCTGAAAGAAATGGATGATTTTTTTTTCTCTCCCACCAGAGCCAAGGGAGAGAGCCCTGAACTAATGTACTGTATAGAATAATCCAATTTTTTTTCCTGTATGGCCAAAGTTTTGCCTACCTCTAAGTCTGC